TACTACTACTACTACTACTACTACTACTACTACTACTACTACTACTACTACTACTACTACTACTACTACTACTACTACTACTACTACTACTACTACTACTACTACTACTACTACTACTACTACGACTACGACTACGACTACGACTACGACTACGACTACTACTACTACGACTACTACTTCTACTACTACTACTACTACTACTACTACCACTACTACTACTACTACTACGACGACTACTACGAGTACTACTACGATCACTACTACAACAACTACTATTACTACTACTACTACTACGATTACTACCACTACTACTACTACTACTACCACCACTACTACTACTACTACTACTACTACTACTACTACTACTACTACTACTACTACTACTACGACTACTGTACTGCGACGGGCGGGCTGGGCCCGCACCTGCGTCTAGCAAGATCGCCACGTCGCCACGGCAACCCACACTGCTGCGGAGCTGCCGTGCCCGTGCCTTGTGCAACGGCACGGCAGCTCCACGGCCGTGTGCTTCCTCCTCCTCCTCATGCTCCTCCTCCTCCTCGTCATTCTCCTCCTCCTTCTCCTCATCCTCCGCCTCCTCCCACTGCCCCTCCTCCTCCTCGTCCTTCTCTGCCTCCTCCTCCTCCTCATCCTCCTCATCCTCCTCCTCCTCGTCATCATCCTGATCATCATTCCCATCTTCATCCTCATCCTCATGATGACCACCACCACCATCCTGATCAGCATCATACTCATGAACAAGATCCATAGATGCGCCATCATCACCATCATCAGCACCAGCAGCATCAGCACCTGTTTCAGCATCAACACGATCAGGATCATCAGCAGCAGCATACATATCGTCATCATCATCGCCACCGCCACCAGCATCATAATCATCATCAGCAGCAGCAGCATCAGCATCATCATCAATATCATCATCATATTCACCGTCACCATCACCATAACCATCAACATCATCGTCGTCGTCATGATCGTCGTCATCATCATCAGCATCGTCATCAACCTCATCATCCACCTCATAGCATTCACTGTTATTCCCATGACCAGCATCATCACCACCATCAGCATCGTCGTCATCAGCATCATCGTCAGCATCATCAGCAGCAGCATCAGCATCAGCATCGTCGTCATTATC